AGAGCAGCTCCTCCCAACTGTACGATTCAAAAGAGAGAAGTTTCCGTCAGATTAACTGGTTGAGGGATAGATTATCTTAACGATAGATTATCTTATACCAAGCAACTCAATATTGTCAGGAATGGCGCGAGGCCGAGCATGAAGGCTCACGACGACGATTCGACCACTGATGGGCTTCCAATTTCAAAAATGGGTGTGATGATCCCACTCTGTTCTCGATCCTGAGATTGAACTGTTGTGGTGGTGCTGCTCTGCTGGGATTGTGCTGTTATTGTGAGGAGATCGTAGAAATAAATTATTCTATCGACTGCTGTCCTTGTTTCGGAACACGTCAATGTCCCCTGGGTAACTGATACACGAGGGTATCTTCGATTCGGGAGTAAAATCCTGGAGAGCTCCATCTGTCTACGGCAGTTAGTACCCCCTACTAACTGCATATTGCATGATATCCTTCTATTTACTTTGGCCTTACTGCTACGCCTCTATTGGATCAGAGGTCAGAGCACAAGGAAAGCGCATGATGACAGTGGCGCTGCATGATGGCTTGTGCTTGGTATGAGACCGCTGTTCTAGTCTTCTAACCCGTAACTGGAACTACTACCACCACGGAACTGGAATCTCTTCCAGAACTACTGTTTTTAGGGCCACTAACATCGGTGTTATACTCTGCCAGTAGTGTTAAAGCGCAGTTGAACGGATTAAATCCCCCAGGAAAGAGTAGATTAATACGCCTGACAGACGGAATACCGCGGGACCTGCAGCAGGCGCTGCACAATGCTTTTTCCGCGGGAGGTGCCCTTATAAGGGCTCTATCAAGCCACAACTTTACGAGCCAAACGTCCGCCACGAATGGACCACCGTTCCTCACGCTCTAATCGATTTATTTGCTATGCAATGAAGCGAAGGGATTGGTAATGAAGCATGGCCGCTGAGGCCTGCATGATACAGGGGGGGCCAAAAAAAAAGTCATTTTGCCTCCATGACTTTCAAGGCGCTATAAGTTACACTTTATTAAATTTTTATCGGACATTTTTACTACCATATTAAAGAGCACATTAAATACTATAATGATACTCCGCCACAGCCTTCTGGAGGAGCGCCATCGAGAGATTCGGCCGCGCGAAAGTGAGTGGGTACCGGAGTTGAGCGAGATCGTTGATTTCTCCGCCACCGTAGACCACCCTCTTGAACTCCGCCCGACTAGGTAACTGAGTGGATTCAGGTCAGGGGACATACTTCAATATTACATCTTCTTCAGGTACGAAACGCCCTTCCATTCGAAGTAGGCGGGAGTTTTTCCAAAACCCTTTGATTCCATGTGGTGGCACCCAAACCTGTAGCAGCACAAGGTCTCCAAGAAGGTACGGGCGACCACATGTAGGGAGGATATTCTTCTCGAGTTACTTGATGTAACCGCCAGCGCTCACCTTCAGTCGGGGTCTACAAAGAAAATATCGGTCTTCCCTTTTCCAGGTACCCCGGTCCATACCATCAACTCGCGCCTCGGCGAATACGGTGAAGATGATGTCCTAGACCGTAGCGACGTTGCCGTAGCTGGTCGATGTGGGAGGTCTTGCAGGTCAAGAGTACTGACCTCCAGGTAGCTATCTGTGGATGACTTCATTCAAGAAGTTTCGCAGCTGTTTGGAGGCGACGTGAATTCCAAAGGTGTTCTCCAGTCAGGCCGCGACTGGAGATGACTTCATATTTTGGCGTACATGAAGGCGATTGGCGGCAGCGTGCTCCAGCTTATAGAGGAAGATCTTGGGTATCTTCCACTCTGGTACTCATATCCACTTCCCCTGTCTGGGCTGCGAAAACTTCGTTGATATGTGGCTCGGCCGAAATGACTTTTTTTTTGGCCACCCTGTATATGGTACAATATGCAGCCGTATCAATAATCGGTAGCGCGCCTAGGCCAAGTGCCTACGGAAACTCGTCCAAAATTGATTCTTAACACATTGAGAACGGAGGCTCTTTCTTCGCAGGATTTTGACCGTTTCACTCCGTTCTTTCGCCATTTCCCCACTATATAGCGCCCTACTAGCATTTTAGGCCGAGCACCAAATCATCGTGCCAACTGCCTTCAAGCAAACCGAACTATTGTTGGTTGATAAAGGAAACTGTTATAGGAAACAGGTTTCGGTCAGTCTCCAGATGCTTAAAAGCTGCACCGAGTTAGAAGACACAGAAAACGCTGCTCGCAATCATAGGCATCACACTGTAAACGATAGGGACGGGCGTTGACTGAAACGTGGGTTCTTGTAACGCAGCGTGCCAGCGAGCTTCTTACCGCCACTTGATGTCATTCTTGAAGTCCAAAGAATTGGCGGAAGTCAACTAGCTCTTGCGTGATAGTTATTAGGTTGTCCGGAAAGTTCTCAGCGTTTTGTGCACCTATTTTTTGTACATTCACTGCTGATTAAAAACTCATTCTGCCTTGCTTCTCAGTAGCACATCCTGTAGAGAATTTCTTGCGCTATCTGATGGTATAATTGCCGTTTCACCATTGCTTGATAAACCCTCTTTTTTCAAGATTTTTTCAAGCATGTGAAAAGAGCACTTCGGACGATTTTTTTCTTCGACTATAAATTGGGGCAATCCGCAATCGAAACAGCTCAACAAATTAACCAGGTGTGGGGGCCCAATAGTGCTAGAGAAAGCACTGTGCGGCAATGGCTCAACAAATTTCGTTCTGGAGATTTCAGCCTTGAAGGTGAACCTCATAGCGGTCGACCTAAAGCAATATCTGACGAGGATTTTAGGGGATTTTGGAGGCTGACCCATCCCAAACAGTTCGAGAGATAGCAGAAGAGCTAGGCCTTGGCAAATCCACTGTTGCAGATGGTCTGGAACGCATTGGGAAGGTGAAAAAACTCGACAATTGGGTGCCCCACAATCGGAGTGACCGGCAGGAATCGGCACGTCTCGAGGTTCCTTCTGCATTGCTTTTGCGCAGCAGAAACGACCTGTTTTTGGGCCGAATTGTCACCTGTGATGAAAAATGGGTCATGTATGATAACAGGAGACGTTCCGGACAGTGGTTGGATTTCGACGAACCACCGAGGTAATTTTCAAAGCCGAACCCTCACGAAAAAAAGATTCTGGTCACGGCTTGGTGGTCATCGGCTGGTGTGATCCACTATAACTTTTTATCACCAGGCCAAACCATCACAGCAGAACCCTACTGTGAAGAAATCGACGAATTGTACCGAAAATTTTGTCAGATGCAGCCAACACTTATCAAAAGAAAGGGTCCGATTCTTTTGCACAACGCCCGCCCACACGTTTCACAAATCACTATCCATAAATTGAACGAATTGGGGGTTGAAGTTCTACCTCACCCGCCATATTCTTCAGACCTTTCGCCAACCGACTATCACCTTTTCAAACATTTTCAGAACTCCCTTGCTGGAAAATACTTCATCAATCAGGACCAGGCAAAAAAGCCTTCGTGGATTTCGTGAATTTTCGACCACCCAGTTTTTTACTTTGATGGGATTTCTCGACTGCTGTCACATTGGCAAAAGTGTGCTGATTCGAATGGTGCCTATTTCGATTAAATCCGATGAGTATTAAAAAAGTTACGATCGTTTAAAGTGAAACACCCAAAACGCTGAGAACTTTCCGGACAACCTAATAGTAAACTGAAATAATTCCGCCATTACTCCTCCTTTATAATGCATCGTACATCGGAAAGCGTGAAGCGTACTTCGAATTCTGTCAGGGTGATGTTTTCTGCCCACACCTCGCACGTATTCTGAGAGCATTGACAAGGGACGATAGAGAGTGGGTATTAGAATAAGCATCCCCTTTCTCAACGATTTTGCCTTCATTGAGCCCTGTAGGACCTCATGTTTGCTGATCTGCTCGTTGGTCTGTGGGAACAGCCCCTTGTCGCAGGTCACATTTGGATCAACAAGATTGATTCGAGAAAGCAGCGCCATGTAGCGCTTGAGCATTTGGTGACCATTCGATTCAGTAGATATACTCGGAGCTCCATCTCTCGAACATCTTCTGCGGCTGAAGACTCGCATCTGCGAAAAGCTGTTCAATTTTCCCAAAGTGCTTGATGACGGTAGCAAATGATACTTCAAGTTTCTCTGCTAACTCGTGAAGTTGAACATCCGAGGTTGACAAAGAGGTCCAGAAGTCAGCGACACCAGTGTGGTGGACAGCCGGGTTCTGTCGACTCTACTGTGACCGATTTCTTGTGCTCGTCATCATCCTCGAACATCCAACCTCACCTTGATTTTGCTCGAGTTTCTGAATCAAAATTTTCAGAAGCAGAGCTGCGTCTGACGATTATGAAAGATACGCTTTTTAATAGTATATTGTAATGCCCTTCAGAAGATTTGCTCCGAACTCATGAGGCAAAGTGTTACGGATCTGTTTCATACAGTAAAGATCTTACACACCAAAATCCCCTCACGAAAAAAAAACCAAAGCCTCCCTAAAGAACTAAAATCTCTAAGAATTTGTTAAGGCAATTTTAATTCGGTCAAAGTTGAAAGAAAAGCGACCATTGCACAGCATTCAGAACAATGCACAACAGATGCAAACATAACATAGACCATAGATGCAGAATGAATAATGGGCGCAGTTTGTCGACGGGGGGGGGGGGGCATTTTGCTTTCCATAGATGTGTCGACCCATCTAGGCAGCCGTTTCTCGAGTTGACACGTTTTAGGATAGTGGCTAGACGATCTTACTTCAGCTTCACAAGAGTTCACAAGTTTTACCAGAGTGAGATTTGTAAACGCGGAAACTAGCGAGAAAGCATGATAATACAAATGCCCCCCCCGTCGACAACAGCGCCTGAATAATGCACATAAAACAGCCAGTAAAAAATCAATGTACAGAAAGTTGATGTATTCGTTTACATACAACTCAATAGATTGAAATGCTTATACTTATACACCTGCTTGACCTATGTTAGCCTAATTGAACTAGTTCTTCTCACTAACAAACCAGTTTCCACAGGATTGCCGCCGGGTTTCATGGAGGTTCTACCTAAAGAAGTTGTCCAACAGTTGAAGACGATTGGCGAAAACGACGCATTGAGTTGGCAGGTGCGTCGGATTGAGTTATCAATCCATGTATAAGTTTTGATGCTTATTCTTTATATTTTCAGCAAAGACTTCAGGAAATCGACAAAGTCTTTTCCTTACTACCATCCGAAATCATCGATAAACTTCCTCACCCACCATTTTTCAAGCGCCTACCGAAGGAGACGCAGGATAAGATTAACCAGATTAGGCGAAATAAGGTGGTAATGAGAGAATGAGACTTAGCAATCAATATTCGGTTGACAGATAGCGCTAATTATTCAGTAACTGTTTTCAGACAATGACATGGGGTGAACGTCTTGGAAAGATTCACGCCCTCGTTTCCTCGTTGCCGGAAAATCTTCGCCCCAGATTCCCGTTCCCGCCACCACCACCAGGAGGGCCAAGAGGAGGAGGTAAGCGTTAGAAAAATTGTTGAGCCTAAGTCGAAAACATGTGAAACCGTGGGGAAAAGGATCTGAAAAAGGGTGCTCCCTCTCAAGTACAAGAGAGGTGATGCCTAATGAAGCTGACACCCTCTTCATAGGAGTGAGCATTCTCTCAGAACATCTGAGAATGACCTGTGCCTTGAAGCCAGCTCGTCAGCACAATTTTCGGAAGAACTTGACAGCTGATAAAGTGAATTTGGACAACGGTTGGGGCACTCAGTTCGCTGCTGACGGTTGGGCGTGTCAGCCAGTATGAGTGTGTCACCCCGTCAAAGCCGTTCTCCTTCTTGTCAAAACGCGCATGCGACAAAAACTGGTATAAAACGAGTAATACGAAAGATATGATATAATATTGTCACTTGCCCATTTCAACAACTGGTGCAGAACGAGTTTGGCATCGCGCCCAGCAGCCGCCACTGACACGCCCAATACCATTCGCAGTGAATTACACTATATGAACACAGCATGATGCACATGTGACGCAATTACTTTGCTGGTAAAAGCAGATGATAGTGAGTGGTGAAAGGCAGCCACCTCCATATACCGGAGAGTAGACCCCGAAAAAAAAAAACAATAAAATAAAAAAAAAAAAAGGATCAGCCAGGCGTCCCATCATTGCCAGATCCGGATGTTTCTAGGGGAGGCACACTGGACAGCATATTGACCAGGAAACTAGTCCAATGTGAGCATGAGTCCAGTGCGCTTTCAAGCTCGTGAATGAATGAAAGTCTAATGCGAGGTGCACACCGAAAACGGGGCAAATCAACACCAAGAGACTAATTCATGCGCTAGGTAATCATTCTACAGAGGACTTAGGATGAACACAGTTTGATGTGATTTCAAAGAAAGCACTCTGATCATTCGACCTTTGCGTGTATAAATTGGATCTAGGTGATCAAGTACTGAAAACGAACGGTCCTTATTTAGCAGCATTATGATGTATGCTTGAACCAAAAGCCTTTGTCGAATTCTAGGAGGGACTGATACAAAAAACGAATCAGTCGTCTATTTTCCTAAGAATCAGTTTACCATATTGTATATCCCTAGTCTGTTTACTAAGGGTTCGGAATCTCAATATGATCTCAGATCATACTTTTGCTGACGAGCATCACATGGTGAACCCTGTGAACCTGACCATTGATAGGGTACTTCGAACCGAACACCTGGCCTAATTACAAGTTCCATTTCTAAGGTAATACCTGTCCCCTAGTGGTATTGATCAGTTACCAAGTTCAGTATTCGAAAAGTGCAGTAGTCCAATGATAACATGCGTGAGCATGAGATTGAAGTTTTATCAGTCCTTACTAGTTCCTGTCACTCATCATCAACGTTCCCGTGTCACACCCAACATCATTTGCCGGAACCAATACCCCACTGTTAATGACGCGCGCAACCAATTTTCAGGGGCTTCCTTTCTAACACCCCCTATCAGCTTCCATCAGGTATTACCACTACTCACTCACTGTAAGTGGTCCCCCCCTCATCCTATGGTTGAGTACCTCGCACGTCTACGTGCTTTATTTCTCACCCTATAAAATGATCACTTATAGTACCGACCACTTGACATAAGTTCCGTTCTTGAGATAGTACCTATCTCCCCCTACTTTCTCCTGCCAATGAGCAACTTGCCATTATCTTGTGCTTACCACAACTTCCAAACCACTTTTAACTGGAATTACGGTCAGTATAGGCAGCTCAACGGTCGGCTTGATGGTAGCAATATGTGGCGAAAGTGAAATGTCTTCACATCGTAGTATCTTCGCAGCAATGGTAATTTTTGTCGACTATCAATGCGTAAATCGTCCTTAAAGGTTCAACCGGGAAATATTGCAATTCTGTCGGAACCTTAGAGTGTCACGTGGAATCGGTTTAACTGTACCAGTCGGATCACCCGGCTGCCGCCGGGTGCTCCTCCTTCTGTTTCACGGCCCGGCTTCGCCGGGCCGACCTGGCTTCGCCAGGCACTCTTCCCTTGGGCGAGGTAGAATGCGCTAAATGTGCCAAATGGGGCAGGTATTTTTTTGAATGTAAAATGAATTGAAAATAGCTCAACATCAGTCATTATCTACCAACATCTGGCCCCTCTTGCTTACTACAGACTTTCAACCGTGAGAAGGCTGGCCATATCATTAAGGACCGCAGTTGCAACATCAGAATGGGTAAAGTTGAATTAGTCCGGATGAGTCCTTAACACCCGGAAGAGGCATAACTGCAGAGTCATGGGTGGCACTGAAAAGGAGAACTTCACATTGCTTGTACATGTCAAAGTGTGTGTCGCACGGAGAGCTCGAATGTTACCACCGACAGGACGTCCCCACTCCCAATTGTTGGGTTCCCTCCTTATTTTGCTTCAGTTGCGACCGCCACCTCCTAACACATCACATAGCAGGCAGATTTGCGAAAAATTTTTTCGATCAATGAATTTCTCAATTTTCCCGCTTCAGCCGCACTAAATCCCCGCCCACCCCTCCCCCTGCCCTAGGCACAATTGCATAGCGGATTATATATGGTAGGATAGTGGGATGAGTTCATTTTCTAGTGTTATCAGGAAAGTGATTGGCTAAAGGAAAGAGTTCACACACTGAGCCTCTAATACTCGGCATTATTGCGGTAAAAAGTGATAAAGCAGGCGCAGATGGTATCTTATCTGTTTTTATCGATTGATAAGATTACCTGTCACCCGTCATCAATGTCCTCATCACTAAATCTCTATGATTTGGTAGCGTGAACCACCTTGAACAGCGACGACGACTGCAACTTCCCTTATCAGCCCCTATCAGTAGTTATCGCTTCCAGTCACCCACGGTTGATGTCCCCATCTCACCCTCTATATCACTTGCTGAAACGTACGCCTCGCTGATGCTGTGACCTGCGCTGTGAATACGATGACCTCACCTTTAACGCCCCTTATCGAATCTTATCAGCAGCTTACAGTTCTTGTCACCCACCAATAATGTTCTTGGCCCATACCCTATATCATATCTTGGAATCAAGAGCTAGCTGATGCGTTATGAATATGGTGACCTCCCCCTTCCACCTCTTATCGGATCTTATCAACTGATATCACTTCCTGTCACCCACCAATAGTGTTCCCGTCACACCCCTACATCACTTCTTGGAACCAATGTCTCACTGCTACTGGGACTGGCGCTATGAATTTCGTGACAAACAGACAGACGCACACACACACGGACATAGCCGATTATATATGGTAGGATTACAATCGGAAATGAAAGAAGCGCGTTCACCGAGCCCCTGCCATTTGATATTCTAGCATCGGCAGTATATAAAAGGTAGCGATTTCGTAGCAGAAATTAGAGATAGGAAGCGGGTTTATGGGCAAAAATGGTAAACGTCGTCCATAGAGTTCACCCATAAAACTCCAATGCTTCTGATTTTACATGGCTACCACTGGTGATATGTTCCCTACCTATTAATGCTCCACCAAGTCCGACTTCTTACTCTAATATTAAGATTCAGCATGAAACCATCAAGTGTTACAGAATGTAGCAGCTCCAAATATGGTGCTTATTCAGATGCCAAATGTGTCTTAAAAGGCAGTTGGCACGATGATTTGGTGCTCGGCCTAAAATGCTAGTAGGGCGCTATATAGTGGGGAAATGGCGAAAGAACGGAGTGAAACGGTCAAAATCCTGCGAAGAGCCTCCGTTCTCAATGTGTTAGAAATCAATTTTGGACGAGTTTCCTGTAGGCATCTTGCCAATAACCGCTACCGAAGGTACGGCTGCATATGTGTACTCATATATCCATGCAGCATCACGGCCGCTTCATACCAATCCCTTCATAATTTGCTTAGCAAATGAATCGATTAGAGCGTCAGGAACGGTCGTCCATTTGTGGGCGGGCGGGCGTGGCGGGCGTTTGGGTCGGTAGCAGTTAGTACGATAAGTTTGCTTGGCGTGTAGGGATTCTTCGACTCTGAATGTAAAACAAGCCTCTGAACAGGTGATATGCAATGTTTTTGTGGAGAAAGGAGCACTTGAAGCGGCGAAAGTCATGCGAACTCGACGTCCAACGTGCGATGGCTGATCAGGCACCAGTTGGCTGCGTCCACCAGCAATTTCTATCAGCCTGTGCCCTTCTCGTTATGATAGGGGTGCCGCATAACTACAAGTAAAACCCCAGCTAACCCGTTCAAACTCTCTCACTCCCTCTCAAGGTACGCAGGAGAATGGCCCCATTCGACTAATAATTGGAAGTTTTGCTTGAGGTTTCTCCGCAATAATGCCTACTGCTTTTATCAGACTGCTCGAACATGAGTGAATAAAAACAATATTTAGATCTGCCACCGGGCTTTGATGAAGTTCTACCCAAGGACGTTATGGACAAAGTGAAAGCTATTAGAGAGAACAGCGCTTTATCCGACAGGGTACCTATACTAGTCTTTTTACCGTCAACTCATCCAATGCATTACCACTGATTGTTCTCTCAAATTCCTGATTTTAAGCAAAAACATGAGAGAGTCGAAGATATATTGTCGTCATTACCCGCGGACATCGTCGAGAAACTCCCACTTCCTCCATTTTTCCAAGACCTACCGGAAGAGATTCGTAAGAAGGTCACAAAGATACATCGCGACACGGTAAGAAGACTCCATTGAATTGAGCTTTTTCTAAGGACCAATAGTGGCGGTAAACGAAAATCACGGGGCTTTCAGAGTATGACATGGAGGGAGCGTCACCGAAAGATCTTTGAGATCATTGAATCACTACCAGAAGACCAACGCCCCATGTTTCCGCCACCTCCACCACCACCATCGCCACGAATGTTCAAAGGAGGTAAGAAATCGGAAAGATTATAATGCGTGGTCTTAATTGGATTACTAGCTGGACTTAAGAAGATGAATAGGTTCTCTTCATCTTCTTATGCAAAGGTTCTCCGACTACTGTCTAATCTTTGATTACTTGCTTCTGTCCTGCAAGCTACTTTCGAAAGTATATCCACATAGTAAGACAATCCAGTCCCATTGAAAACATAGTTCACTAGCCATGAGTACGCCTGTGCGTGAGTACGTGCGTGCGTCTCCCAAAATTGGTAGCAACATGACATTCTCAGCATGCGTTATACCACTGGCTCCATGGTATGAGACAAAAACGGTGGTGGTGGGTGACAGGAACGTGTAACACCTGGTAAGGTTTGATAAGAAGCATCCAATGTCACAGCGGCCTGAGCAACAGCAGTCGGTTTTGCTTCCAGCAAGTGATAAACGGATAGGGTTGTTTGGTTACAGAAGGTGATAACCAGATGAACACCGAGGATGACAGGTTGGTTCCGCAAAATCTGGCGCACCGCTGATGCAAAGAACACATTCAGCTTAATTATCGTACTGAAGCATCTTGTTCGAATACCCTTATATACCATTTTCACTTTAAATTCACCACTTTTCAAACAAATTCACCACTTTTCAAACCAAATTCACCACTTTTCAAATCAAATTCACCACTCTTTTTAGACCGGGCAGTTCACCAACCAGATCACGCCAGACACCACTGCGAGCCCCGCCCCGACGGTCACGCCTACTTGTCAGCGGACATAGATTTTCAACATATCGACTCCGCCCATTCTTTCAAGGGTTTGTTGCGAACTTCGAAATTTCATAACTTTTTCAACTTTTTAATTTCACATCCACTCTTTGCACAACGAAGATACTCGTACCCGCGCATTTATGCACTGGCAATTTAGGCTCCGCCCCTTGGCCACGCCCACTTGCTTTTTGCGGAATTTTGATATTTTTTCAAAATTTTTGCATTTTGGACTGCTACGTGAAGCCCCGCCCACTGTGAGAGGCTCCGCCCACTTTGAAGAAGCCCCGCCCACTTTTCAAAAATGGTGCAATCGGCAGTATAGAGCCTTGGCTTGCATGCTAGGGTCTCGTCCGTCACTCGGAACAAACTTTGCCTGATTATTTGTTCCGAGTGACGGACGAGACCCTAGCATGCAAGCCAAGGCTCTATACTGCCGATTTGCACCATTTTTGAAAAGTGGGCGGGGCTTCTTCAAAGTGGGCGGAGCCTCTCACAGTGGGCGGGGCTTCACGTAGTTGTCCAAAATGCAAAAATTTTGAAAAAATATCAAAAAGAATTCCGCAAAACAACTGGGCGTGGCCAAGGGGCAGAGCCTAAATTGCCAGTGCGTAAATGCGCGGGTACGAGTATCTTCGTTGTGCAAAGAGTGGATGTGAAATTAAAAAGTTGAAAAAGTTATGAAATTTCGAAGATCGCAACAAACCCTTGAAAGAATGGCGGAGTCGATATGTTGAAAATCTATGTCCGCGCTGACAAGTAGGCGTGACCGTCGGGGCGGGGCTCGCAGTGGTGTCTGGCGTGATCTGGTTGGTGAACTGCCCGGTCTAAAAAGAGTGGTGAATTTGATTTGAAAAGTGGTGAATTTGGTTTGAAAAGTGGTGAATTTGGTTTGAAAAGTGGTGAATTTGGTTTGAAAAGTGGTGAATTTAAAGTGAAAATGGTATATATAGTGGCTAGACCTCCAAGCCAGGATTCTGGATGAATGTTCGCTGTTTACAGAAAGGAAATAAGCAGCATTCGATTTCGGCATTGACGGCTGAATTGAGGCGAATGGTACAGGTCGCTTGTGACGGTACACTGGTTGAGCCTCTGGTTTCAGGAATAGCTTAGCTTTCGTCTTGGTACAGCGTCCAAGACCTGGAGCGAAGACGTTAGGGAACTGTGTTCTCAAGTGAGTAACAAGTTCGTTGCGATGGTTGTCGAGCGCTGCAGTTGCTTGTCGACAGTTGTACTGTTCTTTGAGCTGACGATAATCTGGCATCTGGATACACCATTCGAGTCCCAGGAGATCGGTAGCTTCTGTGACGTAGCAATTTCCTCTTCCAGAGATAGGTCTCTGATGTCGATCGAAAATTGAAAAGTCGGCTTCGAAGCATCCTAAGATCTTCATAGGTGAACCATCAGCTGTCTTCACTGTTGAGATGCCTGTGCGAAGAGACGGGTCCATGATCTTCGAGATATCATTATTATGTCTGCTCCAGTGTCGAGCTGTAGATGGGAGAGCTGACCATTGATGCAGACATTGGTCATGACGTCCACGTTCTTGCATCGAAGCTTGCGTTTGGAAGATCGAGCTCTTCTTTTCTTTGTCGACACGCTTCTCCGATTCTGTTTCTCCATGCTGCTTTCTCGTTCTTTGGAAAAGGAGCGCCTTCTGAAACTGACGTGTTTTGGTCCAAGTCGCTTCTTAAACGGCTTTACTTGGTGAGCGGCGTTTATCTCCTTTGTCTCCATCGTTCGGTTATCTGAACGCAAAGTGACGAAAGTTTCACATTCTGCGATGAAGTCGTCGAGAATGGGAGGGGATCCGATTCCTTGAGGCGATTCATCTTGTTCAGGAGTCGTAGACGCATCTCTGAATGGGAAGTGTCGGTGAGACCAGCTACAAAGACAAGACATTTGAGTGATTCGCTGTCAACATCCTTCATACATGCTTCCTCGAACTTCTTCTTGATCGTGTTTCCGAAGTAGGGTACATGTGATCCGCTTATTGGAGGACAGGATGTCTGCAGGAACTCGAATCGACGGCGAATAAGAGTCTTCTTCGGTCCGAATAGTGTGGTCAGCTTTTCGACAGTAGTGGACAGGTCGATGTCCCGTGGCTTGGTAAGACGTGTTCAGAATACGTTTTGTAAGTTGCCTTGTCCAGTTTATCTATAATGAGGTTTCGCTTACGTTCCTCTGAAAGCTTCCTCGGTCGTCGATCACTGGACCATATCGCTTGAACCACGCACTGAACGTTGAGTCGTCGTCTTCGTCATAGTTAAGTATGGCAGGTCTCGCATGAGGTCTACCATAGAAATCTGAAAATGCTGCTTATTTGGAAGACTGAGCAGATACCCTTTGCTCAATAAGTGCTGCCAGTCATTGAACTGCTGACTCTGCTGCTGGAGCTGCTGGTTCTGCTGCTGGAGCTGTTGTTGGAGCTGCTGGTTCTGCTGCTGGATTGCAGCAAGAAACTGGGCCATCCATTGGGGTGCTCTCTTGAGGTGGCTGGAACACTGCTTGGCATGTTGAAGTCATTCAGACGGCTGTTCCCTGGAGCACACGACGACAATTGACAACACCCCGCACAGAGGGTCTTTGCGCTCATATTATCACTCAAAACAGTGACCTTCATAAGCTGACCAGTCCAGCTGAACAGTGACCTTCATTGAGCGGTCTACCACAACAGATGCTGATGCTCATTATCTTTTATGAACAGCAGAAGAAAGAACGATACGAAGACAAAAGGGCCACTGCATTTCTTTCAGCCACGTTGCAAGTAAAGATTGGGAGCGCGCTTTTTCACTAGTGATCGCCTCAAGTCTTGACATAATGGGCATGCAAGAATACTTTTTGCATTCCGTGCCATTATCGAAATTATGTTGTTGCAGAACAAGATCAAGCTGACAACTTAAATTGTTTCCTTGCTTCCAAATTTTCATGGGGTTCGATTTCAGGGCCGAAAAAATCAAAAATTGCTACTTGAAAGACATTCAGTACTCAAGCACTGGTAGACTACGTAAACTAGGTGGGAGAATAATGACTTCAAATTTAACTCCGAGTGGTCGTAATCCGACACAGCTTCAACCATAGTTATTTTTGGAGAAGATCGATCTCTGCCCTATTATGGAGACCTTACGAAATCATAGTTGATATTACCGCATCAGTAGGGTCGCAATCAACGGTACCCACCTGCGGCCTTGCCACCATGGGTTGTTCTCTTCCTAAACGATCACTACCCGATCACCATTGGTACAGCAAGGCATTTGGAGGCAGGGTCATCCCACCCTCCTCACCCCCGAGTGACTGTGATGCTACAAGCTACACAAGCAATAAAGCAATATGGGGCAAACATGACAGTCGAGCGACTCACAGAGCACATCATTGGTTGGGGAATTTATTTGAATCCGTACGACCCCTTCCCTGGGCCCTCTATGTCCCTCGTCATCGAATCGAGCTGTCGTGCGGGTGGGAGGGATAAATAGCACATGTGAAACAGGAAAAGCCGCGAGACAATACGACCCCCCCTTCTACCAATTCTCAGATTTTCCCCAACTTCCTGCCACTTTTTCCAAAATTTCCCGAAAACTTCCCTACTTTTTCCCAAAAATTTTGCTGTCGAGCGGGGATATATAGTACGCATGAAACAGGAAAATCACGAAAAGTCAACCACCACTCCCACCACTCCTAGAAAGGCCAGAAAGTAAATACGACCCCCCCCAACAATGAGCAAGTACGACCCCCCCCCTTTACAACGTCCGTGAAGCGAAAGAAAATCAACTATCAAAGTAAATATTTCCCAACCTAAATACGACCCCTCCCTTTGCGGGTTCCCTAACAACTATGTGCCCTGGTGACTCAATCGCGAACAAGTATAATGTGACAGTACTCCGAATAAAAAATTCGATATGCCATGGCTATGCCGGATTATGGCCCTGAAATATCGACCGATGAGATATTATTGATTTATTAATCGCATCTGTAAATGTAATTCCAGCCAGAACGTTTCGTCACTTCATCAACGACCGACGCCAACACTTAGCCGATTTTTATGGATTGTCATCATATCTGCTTGTATGATAGTATTGGTTGATAATTAAACATTCGCGTTTTTTGTTAATGAATGAAGAGCTCAAGCAATCTTGCTGGGTACATCGCTCAATTGAATATCACAAGCTGAAATGAATTCGTCCGTGGCCTGCAGTCGAGCTTCTTGAATGTGCTTGGCTTAATCACCCTCGCCTCGTTGGGCACTTTCGAAGTAGCAGGATGAAGGTAATGGAGTGCAGCATGGAATCGAAGTCTCTTTTGTTGCCTGCTCATGAAGTGAAAAAATGTAAAGAAATCACTGGAAGCGTTTTAAGTTTGGAAAGTGTTGCTAGACAGGTGGCAGTGTTGTTCGATGGGCGGGACAGCGTCGTTCTTCCGTATCCGCTTCAAAAAGGTTTAATTTTCACAGATCTGCTAAGTTGCTTCAAGTTAGGTCACTACGCAACGAAATGTCACCGTTCCATCAAATAAGAACGCCGTTCTATGCTAGCACCTTTCTCAATCCTAGAAAAAGTATGTAGAAACGAGGACGTTAATATCTTGAGGGCTGAGAAAAGGTTTGCTAGTTTCAAAAAATATCGAGCATCATACGCAGTAATAAACACGCCCACCACTGCGGCTTATCCGCAGTTAGTTTTGACCGGTCTGCTGAAGATTGCCCTGCAACATGATTGCTATGTGACTCCGTTGAGCGAGAACGGGCATCAAGAACTTCCACCAAAGCAATCCCACACATCCTGATCAAATCAGCTAGCATTAGAACTGTGTGCTCCGTATTCTATGTATAAGGCCCAGATCGTCTTCTACAACGCAAATGTTCTATTTAAACACTCAGGTATTCCCGCAACTCAATTCACAGTCAATTGCATCCTGACGAGGAAATCCGCACTAGGAATGTCAAATTAACAGTTGTGAAGTTCAGATAATATAGATGGTTCCCTGAGCTTCATTGTATTGAGACTTGTTCTTATGTATGAAGTGAGAAGCTCTTCTTTTCTTCCAAAAAATTTATTGACAACGTTTCGGGCCTAAGCCCTTCTTCAGGTCACTGAATTACAAGAACGATCTTATACACGCACAATAATACGGCAGCAACAGTCATCATAGAAAGAGCAGCAACCTACAGCGAGTTGTCCGGAAGGGAGAGGTAGGGGTTGCCTAGCCTTCTTGTGCGGATATAGGCAAAAATAGGAAAGTGGCAGGGTTGGAAGTATACACTTTACATCACCGCAATTGTCGGGTCGCAATCAGCGGCTCGCACCTGCGGCGTTTCCATCATTGGTTGCTCCCTCCCTAAATCGATCTTTACCCGATCGCCATTGGTAGAGCAACGAGGCCGAACGCCCATTTGGACCGCGTTGCACAGCCGCCCTCCGACAGTCCGCAATGATGAGGACTGTATATACAGATGTAGGACCAAGGGTGATCTAGGAAATGTCACGTTTTCCTTCCTAGTGCACGTCCTACAGTGATATCAGACTCATTGCCACTCTCATCTCCTCCTTGTTGTTGATCGGTGGGTTCAGCTGCTTAATTTCTAACGCTTCTCTTATTCTTCTCTCGACGGGATCAACCACATTTCTGTGCAAAATGGAGACTCGAAGTTCGGGCGGTCTTTCCTGATAATAAGAGAAGCTTTAGAAACTAAGCAGCTAGAGAGGAAAACGTGACATTTCCTAGATCACCCTTGGTCCTACATCTGTATATATACCCAGAACCCTGCCACTTCCCCTTTTTTGCCTATATCCGTACATGAAGTCAACTCGCTGTAGGCTGCTGCTCTTTCTATGATGACTGTTGCTGCCGTTTTACAGTGCGTGTATAAGATCGTTCTTGTAATTCAGTGACCTGAAGAAGGGCTGAAGCCTAAAACGATGTCAACGAATTTTTAGGAAGAAAAGATACGATACTTCTTTTCGTCCTGATCAACCAATGACTGCAGGCTAATGGACATTAAAGGCACGTTCCGCGATAAACTAAGGCTAGGTTCTCATAACCGTGCACGATGGTCAAGCAGGCAACGTCAGAGGCTATGCTGCTTTCAAAAGTTGAAAAACAGCAAGCAAAACGCACGGCGGTCAGCAAAACGTACGGTTTTAGGCCCATTTGCGCCCGATAGGCCCATGCCGGCCTCCAGTGACCGTGTCGTTGTGAGACTGCCATTGCGCTCTCTCGCCCGTCGTTTTCTGGCCTCTCTCGTCTCTTATCAGTGTATCGCCGCCTTTCGCAATTCACAATTGATCTTGACCACCTTACGCTCGTCCGGTGATCATGATCAATTGCAATAAAGAGGGTCTTATTCCGGGCGCTTTTTCGTGCTTCCTTCTCTTCAATAAGTCAACAAACACAGGGCAATTCTATTTTTGAACTGTATTACCTATGAACTGTGGTCGCGGGAATTGCCTTTAGTACAGGTCATCACTTCATTCCTTCTCAACTTGGGCAGTTTTGTGCTTCGGAACTTCAACAGCTCTCTGACTCTATCAGATGATGATTATCACAACACAGAAAAGAAATCTGACACACAACTCCTCAATTACCTTTCCGCTTCTGATCCCAGTGAATTCGCGCTGACGGCACTTGCCGTGGATCACCTGGGCAAAGGCATGCGTACGGTAATGCAAAGAATAGCAATACGCTCCCCAGCAAATGTCGGGTAAGAAAATGGTTCCAAAAAATTTGCTTATTCAGAACCGTCAAGGAGTTTCACATGCCTTGAAAAACAGCGTCTGCGACTACCCGATAGGCATAAGCCCTCCGGTGCATATGGGGGTCAGCAAAGAAATGGTACTTTCGCAACCCAGAAGGACTTCCTGAAAAGGTCGCTCAGCGACGACAACCTAGCTACGCCCCTAGCTACAAATGTGTCTTTGTCATTTCTTTTTACAGTCGCTTTACTAAAGTGATGCTTCATTCATTTGCACACTATTTATTTATTTCTTCATTCATTTACTAGATGCACGATAGGTGCGCTTACACTTTTTGCTACCACATAATCAGGTCGAAACAGAAAAAATAACAAAAAAAGGAAAATATTCAAAAACACTCAAGCACGCGACACAAATGCCCAACACTTAACAAAACACGACATAAAAGAACATAAAACAGCACAGAAAAACATAGAAAGGCGAAGCAGTGGCATAGTAACGTAATACAGCTGTAGTACTTATAGTGGGTACAGTAAGCATAGTAGGTGATCAATTCCAGTCAAATATATATATACAAAGAGGCCCGTTCCTCTACCTGGAGGTGTCGATTAGATCGAATAACCACAAGTAAAGGAAAAGACTCAGTTTCAAATTTTTTAGTTTTTTTTCCTTTGAGTTTTTTCCGTTTAGAGACCGGACCTTAGTTGAAGGGTACATCAAATAAAGAATCTTGTAAATCGAACCACTGAAATCTGATCTAAGTTTTTATCAAAGTTCTAATTAACTAACAAAATCTCTGCAGGGTTACCTCCGGGTTTCGAAGAGGTCCTACCCAGTGACGTCGTGAAGCAACTGAAGATGATTGATGAAAACGACGCGTTGACTGGTGAGGTATGTTGATGATTACCCTAGACTCTTCCATTTCTTCCAATACATTTGAACGAGAGCCATTTCCATCTTCTCATATTCAAGCAAAAACGGCAGAAGACTGACGAGGTCTTTTCTTCACTGCCAACGGAAATCATCGACAAACTCCCGCACCCACCATTTTTCGAACACTTACCGAAGGAGATGCAGAAGGCAATCAATCAGATTCGGCGAAACAGGGTGAGAAAGAGCTCTGTAGCAAATGTATCAATAGCGAAGGTCCAACAATCACTAACTATTAGGTTGTCCGGAAAGGAATGCGCGTTGAATTTTTTGAACTTGTCCATTTTTTTCTCTCCTACTATAGAAGATTTTTGGAGACAGTTTTGTCTATTAGAAAGAGATTTTTATTGTGCTTCTTTTGATATATTTTTGTCCATGTCTACTTTGCTTTTTTGGGGAAAAAAGTTGGGAAGAGCGGGTGCCGCACCAGCTGAGCGACGCAAACAAGGCAACACGAGTGGCAATGGCCGGAATTCTTCTTCGTCGCTCCAAGAACAGCGGTTTCGACTCTATTATTACATCAAATGAAAAGGTCTGCCATTGCGATAACGCAACGGAGCAAGGACAATGTTAGACTCCAGTGACCTGCGAAACGGGACTCCGAAACACTGATATAGCGCGGCAAAAGCGCTCCCGTGTTTGTGGAATAGCAAAGGTTTGATGTACCTTGAAGTTCCGGAATCGGGTCAGACGGTTACGGCGGACATCTGCAAACACCAATTGAACCGCATGGATCCAGCACTGCGTCTTCAAAGTGTCGAAACGACGTCGACAAAATTTATCCACGACAACGCTCATCCACATGTGGCGAAAATCACTCTAGAAAAAAATTGAGGAATTGGGCTGGAAAGTCCTGCCTCATCCGCCACACAGATCAGACCTGGCACCATCGATTACCATCTGTTCCGGTCGATGCAGAACTCCCTGGCCGAGAGAAAACCGCGAAACAAGCGGTTCAACTCTCTGGTGTCCAACTTCTTTGAGTCGCAGCCGGTCGAGTTCTTCAGAAGAGGAATCCATTTTTTGCATAAATGTTGACAACAAGTCATTGATACTAATGGAGATTGTCTTTTGAATTTATCTTGTTTAATTTCGTTTTTATAATAAAAATTTTTTAAGCTCGAACGCGCATTCCTTTCCGGACAACCTAATACTTTCAGACAATGACATGGCACGAACGTCATGAAGAGATACACTCCATGATTGACACTTTGCCAGAAAATATTCGCCCTCGATTCCCACCCCACCACCACCGCTCAAACAACGCACGGAAGGCCCCCAGAGGAACAAGAGCAGGCCGTGAGCGTCAAAAAGCAGTTCACTAAGGCCACACAATGCAACTAATGTAGTCGTTTGAGTAATGGTCACTCCCACTGGAGTCGGACGGGGGTTTCAGCGGCACATGGAACTAGACGTAGCGCCAGTCCCTTTCTCACCACTGGTTGTATCTCCAACCCTATGGAATAGGCCTGGCAGTCGCTCAAGTCAAAGCGTGGTCCTGAACGCCCGTCTTGATTTCACGGTAATGTATCACAGGAAGGAGTTACGAAGGGAGCACGCAACTCTTGACATTCCAATACCACTTTCAAGATTACGCTGCTGGCCGTAAAAAATTCTATGATTAACGAGAAGATATAGAAAGAACATCCTACTATATATAATCCGCTAAGTGTGTCTGTTGGTGTGTGTGTGTGTGAATGTTTGTCTGTATGTGTGTTTGACCGGAAATTCATAACTTTCTTCAAAACAGCGATAAAGCGCTCAAATTGATAAGTATGTAGGGGGGGTGGGGCAGGAACATTATTGGTGGGTGGCAGGAAGTGATAACAGTTGATAAGATACCATAAGGAGCCTTAGAATGGGTGGGTTACCTAATTCATAACACCGGCCAGAGCAACGACCGGACGTTGGATCCAAGCAGTAAGATAGGGGGCAGGATGGGAACATTATTGGTGGGTGGCAGGAAGTGATAACAGCTGATAAGATACCATAAGGAGCCTTAGAATGGGTGGGTTACCTAATTCATAACACCGGCCAGAGCAACGACCGGACGTTGGATCCAAGCACTAAGATAGGGGGCAGGATGGAAACATTATTGGTGGGTGGCAGGAAGTGATAACAGCTGATAAGATACCACGAGGAGCCTTAGAAGGGAAAGGTCACCAACTCTATAGCGCCGGCCACAACAGCGATGGGACGTTGGTTCCAAGAAGTTAGATCAGGATCAGGATGGGACAATTATTATTGGGTGGCAGGACGGCAGAGGACGCCCCCGAAGTTCATAGCACGAGTTTTAGCAGCACTGGGGGAACTGCTTCCGGCAAGTCATTCAGAAGGGGTTACAGAGCATTCGTGAAGGGATATAAGTTGTATATAGTGTGAGAAAAGGGCTGATAAGCACCAGTACCTGTTCGCATCCTTACTGCTCAGCCTGACTTGAGCACCGGTGCCCACGAAACAATGGGCAGAGGCTTATGAGTCAACTTATTCCATCCCTTAGCGATAGGGTTATGACTGATTCGACCGCTAAACACTCGAGAGTCGACAAAAATTAAAAGCTTTGGAAGCTGCTTAACGAAAGTACCAGGATGTGAGAATATATCACTA